ATTCAAACATGTCGAAAAGGGGGAAACAAAGCCGATGAGGACTAATTTCGCGGTCGGCTTGGTGTGTTCCGGGCTTAACATGAACGCGCTTGACGTCACATCCGCAGACAGCGCGGGGAAAGTCCGACCCGACAGAAAATAGGAAAAATAGGAGCTTATATACAGGCTTATAGGTGCACCCACTGTGAGCGGACAAGCTGTCAGTATGCTCATGAGGAGATGTTTGAGTCATAAATGATAAAATAAAAAGGCTATTGTTACGTTTATTTTTGGGGAAAAGCTGCATATAGCCTCTTTAAAGAGAAAGACACATCTTTTCAGCTTGCCACTGTAAATCGCTTTTTTTTTCTGTACTTAGTGCAATGTCCCTCTCTGTGCTGACAATGATGCACCTGGGCCCCTTGGGGACCCTAACCAATCTCCTGCATTCTGCCAGAACGAACAAACAGGACGTGCAACAAGTGACGCAATAGTTAGACACTATTTCGGATTTGGATTTGTTTTGGATTTCAAAAATTAGTGATCGCCATTCTTTGCATTTTCTTGATTATTTTGTAATCATTGCATGCCATGTATCACTAATAAATATTCTAAAAACAAAAAGTATTTTTCGATTGTGATGAATATATATATATATATATATATATATATATTATATATTAGGGCTGTGCAAAAATTAATTGCGATTAATCGCATCCAAAATAAAAGTCTGTGTTTACATAATATATTTGTGTGTGCTGTATATAATTATTTTGTATATATAAATACACACACATGGGTGTGTAAATTTAAGAAAATGTGTTATTCATATATAAAATATTTATATTTATATAATATATAGATGATACATTTATATATATATACAGAATTTAAGCGCAAATAATTCTTAAATATATACATGCATGCATAGGTATTTATATATACAAAATAATTATATACAGCACACACAAATATATATATATATATATATATATATATATACGTATATTAATCACATATTCATCATCAAATTCGGATCCGAATATTCCACATACGCATATGATGGAACTCCCCGTAGCTCCCGTACGACTCTCCATTGAAAATGAATGACTTCCGGTCTGACGACTGTCGTTTGTCGTGTGCAGTGGAAAGGCGGCTTGAGTGTTATTCCCTGATCTGTTATCCCGTGTTTACCTGGACTCTTGACCCTTGCCTGTTTACGAACCAGTGCTGCCTGCCTCAACCTACGCCTGTTAACACCACGAATTATTGGATTGCCCTTGTTTATTTTTTGTGCCTGGTTTATACCTGTTTAGTTAAAGTTATAATAAAGCTCTGTGCATGGATCCGACTGGCTCTGTCTGTATGTTACAGATATCTTGTAAGATACTGCATGATCCAAATATAGTATTAATTTATACATTTTTAAAGTTTTCATTACATGTTGGGCATGAAATACATGCTGAATCCACCCTTCTGATGGGATCAGTTTAATCCAGATTTTTTGATCGAAGTGATCTAATCCGATTATGTAATCCGTTTTTTCTTTAAAAAAAAAAACATTTTCAAGATTTGATTCAATCCGTTATCCAAAATGGATTACTTTTGAAAAACCGGGCCCTGGATTTGCTTATTAGCAGTTTTTCAGCTAGTAGACAGCTGAAATCAACTGTCAGTCAGTTCATGGCTGGAATAAACAAATGGCAGGACTTCTACTTTCTGACTCCTGGATAATACACCTCTTGTCATATGGAGAGATCACTGTGAGATCAATCTGTTGACATGGTTATATTAATAATTTAAACAGAATTTTTATCATGTCATATGGTAGGGGGCATTATTTCACTAGTAATGAATCTCCTGAACAAAAGGCATATGAAGAAGCATAAACAGGCAAAAGCATATGTAAGCAGATGCATGTAAAAATATTGAAACTCTGAAAATATTGAAATATTGAAACCCATATTCAAATGTTGATAATAAAATAATGCAACAATAAGCTACTATTAAACTTTTTTTAAGCAGAGGCTCTGCTCTTTTTTTTTTTTTTTTTAGATATTTCAAATGTTGATAATAAAAGAATGCTAGAATATGCTAGAATAAAAAAAATTAAACAGAGGCTCTGTTATTTCTTTTGATATATTTCCTGTTCAGACATTCATAGTGTTGTACAGTAGGCTAGTAGCTAAAATCGACATCTTCACTCTTTATTCAAGTATTATTCAAAATGTGTTAACGGTTTTGTAAGCACATTGGATAGTTGTGTTTGGACTCATTGTGTTTTGACTCACAAAAACTATTTTTTTTATTTGTGATCATTTTTGCCCAGGCTGTCATATAAAGAAATTATAATAACAAAGACAAGAGAGAACTAATGAAACATTAATAACTGATTATGTTGTTGTCAATGTATGCTTTCTCCTCCTTATAGCTTTTTGTTTTTTGTGCAGTTTTTTGCATAGTAAACAAAACCTGTAGCTGCAGTTTGTCTTTTTTTAACCAAATAATGTTGTACCTTAACCAAATTTACTGTTTTGTTCTTCCCTCATATTTAGAATATTTTAAAAATATATAAAATATATATTCCTCATGTTTCAGAGGTTAACTTGAACTCGTAGGGTCTTTGAAAACAAAAATCACAAAATTTTTATTAGTAATGATGTAAATATATTAAAAAATAATTTAAAAAAATACTGAACTGAACTCAAAACTTCAGATTAATTTAAGAAAAATGTGTTGTTTTTTTTTTTTTTTTTTTTTTTGAGAATGATCCAGATGACATCAGTACACAATTTGTATGTGAGGATCTGTGTGTTTGTGTTAAAACATACATTTTTGCAGTCCTTTTGAAAGCCTCCCCTCTCCTCCATGGTCCAAACTACAGTAACACAAACATACCAAATTACCATGACACATCTACTATATATACACATAATATACACATCTGTCAGTGTATAAAATTCAACAATTAAATGGTGACAAACAGGATTCAATTATGAAAAAGAAATCAGTGGTGTATAGTCCAGGGGTCAGAAAGTAGAAGTCCTGCCATGTGTTTATTCCATCCATGAATTGATTGACAGTTGATTTCAGCTGATTTCTCCTGACTAAAAAAACTGCTAATAAGCAGATCCAGGTGATTGGAACAAAATACTGAGAAAGACTGGACTTTTACTTTCTGAACCTGGACTTTACAACTCTGCATAGTAGGGGTGTTTTGTTCTGCTTTCATTACATTTGCCATTTGATCAATGTTGTGGTGGTTGCGCCAGAGCGGATTTTGGTCGGCAGGAAAAATAGTCCAATGAATCCTTCGTTTTTTGTAATGTGTACCGAACCGAAAGCCTTGTACTAAATGGTTCAATACGAATACAATGTACCAGTACACCCCTACTGCATAGCAATGCTATATGTCAGCCAAGAGTAGAGAAATAAACCAGACCTGGATCTTATCTGAGCCACAAAATCTATGTGTATTAAATATATCATTTCAGCCTTAAAGCTTGATAACAAGCAGACTCACTGAAGAAAACGAGACAAGCAGAAACACAAGAACTACAACTGACTTTGGACACAGTCTTAGAGGAAATGAACTGAAGAGAAAAGAAGACATTAAATCTGAAGATCTCAGCAGAGGAAGATTAAACATTACCAGCTTCACTTCACTAACCACACTGACTTTATTTTCTGTTAGACGTCTACGGAAGTTTTATTGAGACAGAATTTTAACTGTTTCATTTGAACTCACCATAACAGTGATTAGTGTTTCCATTAGTTGGGGTCTTAACTGTTTTCATTTCTTTAGGCTCTTTTTAGCTGCTATGATGTTTGTCAGACACATTTACAGCAGCAAAGAAAGCAAAAGAGAAATGAGATCAGGTGATGATGGTTACCTGGTGATGGTTTTATAACACAATTGTATATAGAGTTGGTGGGCACACTTAACATAGTAGGCTTGTTTGAGATGCGCCTTGCCTCGCCTGACATGTATGTGAGAGTGGGCGGCTGCAGTAAGAGGAGGAGTGAAAAAAAGCGTAGTCAAGCCGGACAGATCTCGCTTCTCACAGTGGGACAGATCTCGCAGTGGATCTGACACCTGTGAGATCAAAGACTAATATCGCGGGATTCACACTTATACACAGTGTTGCTAATAAACTGAATGTAATTTAAGTTCCCTTTCGTAGTCACTCCGAATTACGTCGAATGACGAGAATGGGGTTTCGCTTAGAAACCTTGTCATCTTCGAGTATTATAAAACGAGCCAATGGCGATGAAATGCCATGGATCTGCGGAATCTGCATAGCGTATTGTGGAGTTGTTTAATCCTCCTCTGCTGAGATCTTTAGAGAGGGTCAGTTGGGTTTCTGCAGGTCTCTTTTTCTGTTCTCTTCTTTCCTTCATTTATTCTGCTTATTAACAGGCTTTATTAAGGCTGAAATGACTCCATATTTAATATACACAGATTTTGTGGCTCAGATAAGGTCCCGTTCTGTTTTATTTCTTTACTCTTGGCCAGGGGTCCTCAACTCTGGCCCGCAAGATCCACTTGCCTGCAGAGTTTACCTCCAACCCTTATCAAACTCACCTGAACAAGCTAGTCAATGTCTTCATGATTTGCAAAATCCCCAGTGTTAAATCAATACTGCTCAGAGTACATATTGTTCCAATCTAAAGAGTGTTAAAAGTGGTAAAGTTAATGAGATAATCAACAACATCAATAATGGTCACTCAATTAATCACTTAATTAGCTCTTAACTTTAATACTGCTTCGGTATTAATTTAAGGCTACGTTTACACATAGCCGGGTATTTAGAGAAATTAAAAAAATCGTTTTCTGTAATAAAACAGGGTTTTTGTGTAAATGAGAGGCGGGAAATGAGAAATGTAAATGAGAAACGGGGCCACAAACTCTTGAGTGTGGAGTCAATTAAACTCCCAGAAGGGTTAATTTAACACTGGAGTTTTGCAGTCTAGCTTCAAGCTGCATTTATGGGCCAATCAAACCAATGGCAAGGTGTTATGGCATTCATACGAAACAGAGAGTGGGAAAAAAAATAGATTACTTATGTTTGACATACTTGAGTGTTTTTAGTGAACAGTTTGGATCATTCAGTTTCTCAGAGAGCAGCTTGACTCCTAAATTGCCTGGGTGATTGTAGCTCAGATCCAGCTCTCTCAGATGTAAAGGGTTTGAACTCAGAGCTGAAGACACATAACCACAGCCTTCCTCTGTCACCATACAGCCTGACAACCTGCAGATGTACAATGATGAGTGTTAGTATGTTTGTATCATCTTTTTCAAAATACTCATATGTAGACCTGCATGCATACGGATTAATTAAATGGTGTAAATATTATCCCAGACATTAAATAGTGTCGGCCCAGAAACGGCACATCTGGAATGAGTGAAATCTACATTTACCAGGCGTGGCCCAGATCTGGCCCCACACTATGTTGCTGTCTGACTATTTTGTTTAAATTATTTTTAAAAATATCATCCATAAATCAATGGTGATGGCATTGAGTCAATGTTACAATGGTGATGTTGGTTCAACATCATGCATGCACTGAATGAAAACACAAAACAATTGCAACTGACTTAAAGCCACAAATCCTGAAATCCACTGCAAATAAAAGAAGACAATAAATCTCGCAAGATCTCAGCAGCAGTTTTTTTTTTTTTTTTTTTTTTGAGAATTAGGTGTAGTAGTTGATGTTTTAATAGGGTTGGTCACCATTGTTGTAATCAGTGTTTGCTTTAGTTGGGCAGTTTGACTCTTGTCTTTTGTTTGCTTCTCGTTTTTGTAGTAGTGTTTGCCAAAACATAATGAGTTGCAAAGAAAACCAGAAACAAAGATAATCAGGTGAAACAGTTTTAGGTGTCATTAGAATTAGAAGTGTCCACCTCAACAAAAATGGTTACTGCTTTCTTGCAACATATCTAATGTTCAGATTTACATTTTAATAGGTGGTTTGCAGTCACGTGATTGTGTTGACGCGCGGAACGCAGATGGAGGGCAAGGAGCGAAGAGCTCAATGGACGAGATGGAGGAAAATCCGTACTGTACTACTTTAGACGCTATTACAAGAGAAATATATAAACAGAAAATCGAAACATATGTTGGACGTGATCCTTACGTTATGAAGAGGACCGATTTTCAACTGAATTGAGAGATTTGCCTGCCATAGAGGCTGCAAATATCAGCAACTAACTCGTCTTACAGACATACTTTGACTTTACAAAGTTCGGAAACTGGTACGTTACACAAACAGCCACATAAGTGTATTTAAACACCTGAATAATGTAATTATAAGCCACATAAATAATGTGTAAACTCTCACAGTTGACGAAGTGATCACTGCGCACACACACACAGGCATTTTCCCATTCGGCTCCTCCCGACCGCAGACGTAGGTTTATAATGCATTTTTCCCGGTGTTTTTCTGTCAATTTCTTGTATTTTCTCCCCTATGAACAACAACTTTTGTCACACGATAAAAACTCCTCGTGGTTTGATCGATTTGAGCAACCGTAAACGACGCAAAACACAGGCATTTTGAATGTGTTAAAGTGCTTCCTAAATATAGAAATCACTTCCTGCCCTCCATTTGCGTTTCGCGCCATGGCAACGCAGTTGCGTGACGTCACGTGAAAACAAGCTATTCTTGTAATCGTTCTTCTCACATTTATTTATTCAGTTCATGACCTCACCATCTGTGTCGCCAATACCCTTTGTCTCCAGAATGTGAGTACACACGCCTCAAAGATTGCTTAAAGAAGTGCACATTCTTCCGTCAAGTTTTTTTTTTAATAAAGATCACAACCCTTGTGTGGAAACTGGCGTACGTACGTTTCCAGCCCCGTTTTGTGCGTGCACACACTTTATAAATGACACCCCTGATGTTTTGTTGGAACCAGTAGTTGAGAGTGTTGTGTATCTCTATTTATTTTGGAGCTTTACTTATGGTAGTAGTTTTCTCTCGTTAGTTCCTTTTTGATCATTCTATGATTGAGATTCACAAAGGTAGAAGTGAATGTTAATTTTCATGATTTATTGTATGATTTAATTAATCTGTTTTACCTCTTACCAGCAATTTGCAAGTTAATGATTTCTTTTGGTCTAAAAACAGATTGAATGTCAGATTTTTGTCAAAATTGGGTTTTCAATCAATTATTATTCTATATCTTGTTTATCATCTCTGAATATATCTTGGGAAAATTCACTAGTTTAGTGCAGAAAAATAGCGATTTATACTGGCAAGCTGAAAACGTCTTTCTCTTTAAGAACACGCACGGCGCAGTAGAGGGGCAAAAAACAACAAAATCACCCATTTAGCTCTCCTTCTCTTAACACTACAAAGACAGTTTCGCCTATCGAAATAAACCACATAACAGAATAAAGGTCCCACCAGTCCTGTGTAAACTACAACAGCACGAAAGTTTTTATTTATTTGTTTTTATCCAGCGTTATCATGTGGACGTGGTGTGATGCGGAGCACAAGAGAGCTGCTCGCTTAAAAGACCTTTCTCACCTCTCAATCGTCCAAATTCAAAATGGTTTGCACAGGATGAATTTTGAGTTTGTAAGCTTTCGAATGATACCTAATGATGATAACAGATCACTCTAAATTATAATGTTGACATACTACTTTGAAATTATGTATTGTGAAAAGCACTACATATAAATGTGAATTAAATTTCATTGAATTGGTTGATGGTCAAAATGGCACCAGCTGGCGTAAATGTGACATATTCAAATGTAATTATTTGACATTTACCCGATTTGAATGCACATACTTTAGGACACACTGATGTCATAAAAATTTGTGCCCGTCATCTTTTAGAAGTTTACAACTGTTTACAACTGATTTTATTACCTCAGTATCTGCAGTTGACAGTTTGAACTCTTCAGTCCATTACAGATCAGCTTCACTCCTGAATCCTGCAGGTCATTATTACTCAGATCCAGCTCTCTCAGGAAAGAGTTTGAGGATTGTAGAGCTGATGCCACAATTTCACAATGCTGAGCAGTCACATTACAGCCAGCAAGACTGAAATGGTGTAAAACATGAAAAAGCATTCCTTATTATTCATCTCTATATCAATGATATCAGCTTCATTCTTGAAAAGACATTCAAATGAAATAATTAAGACATTATTAATCACTCACCAGGCTTTTTTGCAGTTGATCACAGCTGGTATCAGTCTTCTTCTACCCTCATCCGATGTGTTGTATTTCTTGGGGTCCAGCTCATCCAGCACCTCCTCTGACATCTGAAGCATATAGGCAATTGTTGAGCAGTGAGCAGGAGAGAGTTTCTTCTCTGAGTGTTTGTTTGATTTCATAAACTCCTGAATCTCTCTGGACAGAGTCTGATCTTTGACTTCCAGCAGACAGAGGAACAGATTGATGGATCTTTCAGAGGAGAGTCCATGTCCATCTTTGATCTTCTCTTTAATGTACTGTGTGGTTCTCCTGATGCTCTCTGAGTTGTTCTCTGTGTGTGTTAGTAGATCCTGTAAGAGTCCCTGATTGGACTCCAGTGAGATTCCCAGTAGGAATCGCAGGAACAGATCGAGGTGTCCATTCTCACTCTCAAGGGCTTTATCTACTGCACTTTCCAGTAAACCATTAATTAAATCAAAAAACTGGGATGTATCAGATTTTTGTCTATTGTAATAGTAAAACACATAGAAAGCAGCAAGAAGCTCCTGAACACTCAGATGAATGAAGCTGTAAACTTTCCTCTGATAAATCACAGATTCCTCCTTGAAGATCTCAGTGCAAATTCCAGAATACACTGAGGCATCAGTGACGTCTATACCGCTCTCAATCAGGTCCTTCTCATAGAACATCACATTGCCCTGCATCAGCTGATGGAAAGCCACTTCAGCAAGTTTCACAATAACTTCTCCGTTGGACTGCAGGCGTTTCTCTCGATCTGTCTCTTCATACTTCTGATTCATTGTGTTGATCTGAATCAACAGGAAGTGGATGTACATTTCAGTCAGAGTTTGCGGAATTTCGGCACTCAGATCTTCTTTCAGGAGCTTTTGAAGCACAGTGGATGAGATCCAGCAGAAGACGGGTATGTGGCACATGATGTGGAGGCTTCTTGCTCTTCTGATATGTGAGAGGATTTTGCTAGCTTGATGCTCGTCACTGATTCTCTTCTTGAAATATTCCTCCTTCTGAGGCTCATTGAATCCCTGAATCTCTGTCAGACGGTTTATGTAATTGGAGGGTATTTTATTGCATGCTGCTGGTCTGGTGGTGATCCAGATGAGAGCAGATGGTAGCAGTTCTCCTTTCATGAGGTTTGACATCAACACACCCACTGATGAAATCTCAGTCACATCAGAAACCTTCTGAGCATCTGAAAACATCAGTGTCATTCTGCTTTCATCCAGGCCATCAAAGATGAACACAACTTTACACTCATAAATCTTTGAGTCCAGATCTTTAATTTCAGGATGAAAGTCCAGCAAAAGTCTGTGAAGACTGTACTGATGATCTCCTATCAAGTTCAACTCTCTAAATGGAAGCACAAACATGAAATCTACATCCTGATTGGCTTTTCCCTCGGCCCAGTCCAGAATGAATTTCTGCACAGACACAGTTTTTCCAATTCCGGCGATGCCTTTAGTAAGAACAGTCTTGATTTGGTCTTTCTCCACACATCCTGATTCAGGCGAGGCTTTAAAGATGTCATTGCAGTAGATTGGAGTGTCTTGTGAGTGTTGTGTTCTGGCTGTTTTCTCCATCTGTAAAACCTCATGTTCTTTATTCACTCCTTCGCTCTCTCCCTCTATGATGTAGAGCTGTGTGTAGATCCTGTTCAGGAGGGTTTGATTCTCTTGGAGTTTGTTTCCCTCAAAAAATCTCTCATACTTGTTCTTCATGCTGGTTTTGTGCATGTCTTTTACTTTCTGCAGGTCTCCAGGCTCCAGTGTGTGTGTCTGTAAGACTGCTTCAGTTTTGTCCTGCTCGAAGTGGGCCTGATAGTGGGATGTTGAGGTCCGCACAGACCTGTTGTATGTCTCATGTATGTCTCCCCTGTTGAAATTATAAAGAAAAGAGCAACAAAAAAAAAAGTAAATTACAGCCGTTACAATGACCCTCAGTGACCATTGGAAATATATATGATTTCGGTACCCCTATACAGTTAGACCTTACCAGGCTTTTTTTTACAGTGAATTTACTGATAATTGTATAGTTCTTTACTGTAATCTACAGTATGTTACTGTAAAAACACCATGCACTAAATTAATACTCAAGTTAATTAATTTTACTTGCAGAAACCGACTGATTTAAACTGTCATTTTAAATGTATCAACTAACATTTATAATGCACTAATAATGTGAGCAAAGTATTACCGTGAATTTTCATTTGGGACCACTAAAAGTATTGTAAATAAAGAGATTTTCGCTGGACCAGCAACAGCACAGACACCACCTGTTAAGTGCAAACGAGACTCTTTTCTACTAATCTCTACTAAGAGATTACTCTGCAGATTTTTATCTTACATATAAGTGTTATACATTTGATCCTGTTAAGTGTCTATTTTTGTGTATACTCACAATAGAAACAAAGTGTTCTGCTTTTTGTCAAATAAAGAAAAATAAACATGATGCAGTCTCTCTGTCAGTGAAGTTCATTATGAAATGCGTCCATAAAATGAACTGAAACTAAGTAAATACTTGTCACAGAGACACAAAAGATTTCTCAAAACCACAAATAAATCTAGTTTTAAATATACTTCTTTTGAAGTATTGGTGCTTAGTGTCCAAGCAACACAGCAGTAAGTACTTTATGAATTTTTTCACTTATAAGATTGATAATATCAGGGACAAAATTATAAATATAGCTGCGAGCAGCGATGGCGGGCCCAAGCCGGAGGCACAGCAAACCCCGGTTCCTTTAGTTACCTAAAGGCACCCGGGTGGCGGTGCCGAAGGCTTTGGCCCTTTCATGATTAAATGTTAAAACGGCTTGCCATACTCTGTCATTTCGACTACTCACAATTATGTTACAGATATCTTAAATGATAATACAAACTATCCAAAGTGTAATTACGACTAGACAGAAAGACGTTGTTGATATCTACAATGTTAATTCCGGATAGGCAAACTTAGCTTTTAAATGTTAAAAGGGCTTGCCATACAGGGACGTAGGCTCAGAGAGAGGCTCACCATATTCAAACCAAAATATCTGACTTCCTCTTGGTCCGAGCTAATGACTATGTATTAGAAAGTTGTACGGCTTGAGGAGTACAATGTATATACCGATTTTTGTAACTGTAGATAAAACTAACAACCCCACTTTTAAGTATATATATGGTGCCTTTAGTGTTATTCTGCACGACGTGCAAAAACGTAACCCCCGCTTTTTTAAGTATATATATATATATATATATATATATATATATATGAAGAGTTCAGATGCAAAAGCCTCTAAATGCCATTTGAAATTTTCTTCTTTAACTCTTTCCCCGCCAGCGTTTTAAAAAAAAGTTGCCAGCCACCGCCAGGGTTTTTGACGATTTTCGCTAAATTTGAACGCCCCGCTGAATATTTTCTTCCATGAATATATGAAGATGATATATATAAAAATAAAGATCTGAGCCTCTGCTTTTAGGCAAAAAAAAAAACGTTTTTATTTTATCTTAATCTGTTCTTTTTTTATTGCCTCTTGAACAGAGGTAGGTTTTGTCAAAAACACAACATTTTGGACAAAAAACTGAGAAAAAGGTATTTTTATCAAACAAGTGCATTTAAAAGCAGAATACATTCAGATGTTGTTTCCTTCATATATAAAACTTTCCAAAATAAATTAAAAACATAAAATAAATGTAAAATATATCAAATTTCCCAGGATGTAAGGGAAATGTAACTTTTGCAATAAAACTTCTGCCTCTGCCTCTCTGTGTTCTACCTGTGAATAATGAATAATTGGAATTACAATAAACAGGCCTAGACACACACACACACACATACACACAAATACATATTACAATGTGGTAAATGTGCACAAAGAGAGAAATAATTTGACAATTACACCTTCATATTTAGACAGCCACACATAAATGCCTGCACACACACATACATATTATAGTGTCATAATATTATACGATCTATCTGCGGCACGTCCATGGCTAGAACTTTCTGTGACAACATGTGCATCTCTCTCACTGACTACTTGGTCCCGATCAGATTCAGAATTATCAAATAAAGAGTGATCGGACTCCGAGTCCATTAACCTCCAGTACTTCAGCCATATACCTCTGCATTGTCTGTCTGATACATTCTCACTACTCCACTGTTTGAGACGATTGCAATCTGTTTCTCTGATCAAAGAGTTGCGCAATCATTCAGGACATGCGCGCGGGTCTTCCTTACCGTATACCACCTAAAACACGGATACCCGGAAAATTCCGTGTTTGGCGCAGATGCGTTTTTTCATTAAACACGGAAAATTCCGTGTTTGGCGGGGAAAGAGTTAATGATGATTTTTATCAAACTTGTATATTTAAGTTCAGTAATTTCACTTAAATAACAATTAATAGGTAATTATCATTGCCATTTAAGTGAAATTACTGAACTTAAATATACAAGTTTGATAAAAAATCATCATTAAAGAAGAAAATTTCAAATGCATTTAGAGGCTTTTGCATCTGAACTCTTCATATATATATATAAAGAGGGTTATTCTGCACGACGTGCAAAAACTTAACCTCCGCATTGACTGTCGAAGAGAAGTGTGCAGAAGAGCTTGCATCAGTGAGGGCTTTGCAAAATATATATACATACAAACACACACACACATATAAATGAGGTTAGTGTTTTACAATATTAAGGAAAGCAAATGTATTGAAATATAGCACATGAATTTTAAAATCATTCAGCTTCAATTACCAATTTGTAGTTTACCAATTTATCTTACTTTTATTTAAACCAAGCTATACATTTAAAAGATTAGGGTTATATGCATATTTTGTCATTTAAAAAAATAAAAAATTGTTATGCAAAAAGATAAGGACTTGCAGAAAAAATCTACAGTCAGCCAAACACACACACACACACACATAAACGCAGACACCAGCAACCCCCCCTCCCTCTTCCCCACACAGACACTGATAGAGACAAGATACACATCCAAACTGCAATATCTGACTTTCTTTTGGTCTGAGCTTCTTACTGTTAATTAGAAAGTTGATCGGCTTGACAAGAACAATATACGTGGCATGTTTTGTAACTGTAGGTAAAACGAGCAAAGTTAACACATTTTATGTGTCCTTTTTTAGTCATAAAATTATTTTCCTCGCCACGGCCAAACCATTCGAGACATCAAAAATCCGTCCGGAATTGAGCATCCTCAATGTCTTGCCTTCATGCACACCGAGTTTTGTGGTGATTGGTAATCACATGCGTTGTAATTTGATGTATTTCTCCTAGGAGATTTATTCAAACAACCCATAATTCCCAACTTCCATTTGACCTGTCATAAAACTTAGAGCACGAAAGTTGTTTGGCCTGATGTGATCTATAAGTGTACCGAGTTTCATATTATTACATGCAAGTGTGTTTGATTTATGGACCAAATTTTCAGATCAAGTTTATGGACCAAGTTAATTTAATTAATAAACTAATTATATAAAACTATTGTCAATGCACTACAATTAAACTGGTTATATTATGCCTTTACGTATAAAAAAAATAAAATAAAAACTTATTTAAAACATACCAGGCTTAAAAAATGTTTTTTTTTCTGCAGGCCAGACACACAGCAGTGAAATGGTTAAGCCCCCTCCCCCTACAAACACACACACAGAGGCACAGACAGGCAAACACACAGACAGAGACAGAGATGTAGGCTCAAAGAGACCATGACCATATTCAAACAAAGATATCTGACTTTCTGTGGGTCCTAGCTAATGAGTGTCAATTAGAAAGTTGTCTGGCTCGAGGAGTACAATATACATACCGATTTTTGTAACTGTAGATAAAACTAACAACCCCACTTTTGTCAAAAGGTGGCGCTACTGAGCCCTCACCACACCCGTTTCTGAAACTTTGCACGTGTCTACTGGCTAATAAATGTGATGTGTCTGTCGAGTTTCATGCATTTTGAAGCATGCTAAGGGTCTCAAAAGCATCCTAAAAGCATCCTAAAAGAAGGGTAAAGTTTGATGCGTCGCCACGGCAACAGTTTCAAAGATATCAAGAATCCATTCACAGGTCTACATCTGCCGTATGTTTACATTATACATATGAAGTTTGAAGCAAATCGGGTAAAAATAAAAGGGTGATATCAAAGCATTTTGAAAGTGACACACTTCCTGCTGCCAGTTGGTGGCGCTATAACTTTGACTCACAATAGTCACATCCATGTGATCGTCCTCTTACAGCGAACACACTGCTGAAGTTTCATCAAGATCAGTTAATGTATGCTGAAGTTATAACACACTTCCTGTTTCACGTTTCTCGCCATGATTTAGTTTCCTCGCCACGGACAAACCGTTCGAGATATAAAAAATCCCCTCGCAAACTTTCATCCTCAATGTCTTGACTTCACGCTGACCGAGTTTCGTCGAATTTGGATCAAAGCTCTAGGAGGAGTATATGACATTCCATTGCGAGCGTTTTACAAACAAACCTCAATAGCCGACTTCCTGTTGGGCTGGGGTAAAAAGTAAGAGTGTGAGGTATAGATGAAACGATGAGATCAACATGTGTACCGAGTTTCATATTATTACATACAAGCGTGTTTGAGTTATGGACCAAGTGTTCGGACCCCGTTCCAGGGGGCGCTGACGAGCCGCCCTACCACGCCCGGGTACCAGCTTCAGCCCGGCTCTGATGGCCGCGGGTTCTGACCCGTGTGCAAAGTTTCAAGAGTTTTCGAGCACGTTAAGGGCCCCAAAAGTGCCCAAAAGGTAGTAAAATAATAATTATTATAATAAATATAGCTGCGAGCAGCGATGGCGGGCCCAAGCCGGTGGCACCGCAACCCCGGTTCCTTTAGTTACCTAAAGGCACCCGGGTGGCGGTGCCGA